CGTTTCCAATGTAACCTTCAAATACTTGAAACCAACAAGGACCCACTCTGTGGCAGAGTGTTAATATTGTACGAGCTTTCACTCAGGTGTTGGCGTACAAGTCTTTGAAACACTTCACATTAAAGACCGCCATGTTAAGCTGTACAAACAGTCACACGTACAATCATATAAAGCCTCCGATTAATCAGGTCGAGATGAATGCAACTAATGTACGCATCATCTCATGGTAAAATTAATTTCTAATTCTTATATTATTCCCTTTAACTTTATTAATCTCCAGTTGTTGACTTTGTTGACAACTTGTGTGCAAATTGGATTTGTACAAGGTGAATGTACTTAATGTAAACACGTGAGCATTAATCAAGCACCTTTGATTTGGTAATTAGGAAAATTCTTGGCATTATTCCCTTAACTTTATTAATCGGCAGTTGTTGACTTGTTGACAACTTCCAAGTGCAAATTGATATTTACAAGGAGAATGTACTTATTGTACGCGGAGCATTAATCAAGCACCACACACCTTTCTGATATGGTAAGTAGGAAACCACTTCAAGCTGACGCATACAGAAGGAAGGTACTCCCTCATCAAAGTCGAGGATTAACTGCCTTTGACGTCAAACGTCTATCGGCATGCCCAAACTGGCATAAAGTTCTGATGGAAAAGTAAGCAGCCTTTATTTTGGGAGTTGTCTCCTGTTTTAACGAATAGTTCAGTATATGAATTAGGTGGGGCAAATGTGGGTGTTCCCTTTATGGAAATATAGATCGTGTTTTGAGAGCAGGACACGTTTCAACGTTAACGATTCTAGTAGTTCAAGCTTCCTGGTCCTACCCGACAAGCCATGTATGCTTCCTCCATTTGGCTAAACTTGATGAGTGAGCGGAGTGGAAAGAAGGTTGTACACCGCACTCCAGCAATATTCCAGCTTATATGGCGGTGGTCTGTAAATAATCGAGTCTGACCAGACAATCCAGTGATCAACAGCATGAGCATCGATCTGCGCAATTGGGAACTGATGACATATGTCAACAATGCCAGCGAGCCTGACAACTCCGATCCCGTTAGTCGCCTCTTACGACAAGCATGGGTTACTGAAGGCCAATATTCTAAACACAGACCTTCTCGGGTCCTTCAAAAAGAGAAAGTATAGGTCGAGTTTGACTCATCCATATAAACGACACAACACAAAATGTTGATTACAAGTATAATTAAATGGAGAATGGTTACAGATGATCATTCAAGCACATTATGAAGGATGTTCTGACAACACATTTTGTATGAGCGATAGTCAACAATCGTGGATTAGAACATATTAGTTGTCAGTGATATCAGAACCCCCACACGCGATTGTCTAGCTCTATGTTAGTTCATCTGAGACACAATGGCGGTCTCAGTTACGCGTATGACCCCACGTGCCTCAATGCATGCTGTGATACGTCGTCTCATTGATAACAGACTCCTCTGATTATTATTTGCTGGAATCCTTTTCCACTCCACCCTCAGGTGGAAGGCGCCAGCCAGCTCTATATATTGTCAGTGGGTTGTTGACAATTTCTTATATCTGTTTCTTAAGATGGTATCATGGTATGCTCTATCGGATTCATATATGGTGGGGCGGTGGGGTAGCCTAGTGGTTAAAGCGTTCGCTAGTCCTCGCCGAAGACCCGGGCTCCTATTCTCCACATGGGTACAATGTGTGAAGCCCATTTCTGGTGTCCCCGCGAGTGATATTGCTGGAATATTGCTAAAAGCGGCGTAAACCAAACTCACTCACCTCATCTGGTGAGTGGCCAGGCCAGGGAAGGACATGCATGTTGTGTCAGTCCTGCTGTATGGGGCCTGGCATTGTCCAGTTGAAACACTGTTTCCTGTGGTTGGTATTGTAGCGCGAATAGAGCACAACTGGTTGTAGCACCTGTTCTTTTGTACTGCAACTGCGTTTCCAATCCCCGCTGCACAACTACTCAGGTCGGTCTTCTGTTCCCACATATAGCGTCCCACACCATGATGCCCTCCGCCGCCGAAAGGCTGGACCTGTTGAATGCAATACAGGAGATAGTCGTTTACCTCTACGGCTGGGCAAACCCGTTCTCTGCCAACATTCAGAAATAACTTTAAACGACACACTGACGGCAAACAGCACTTGGCGCCACTCGCCCCTCACCTGATGACTCCGGAAAACACGCCAGTTTTCCATCGTAATCTCAGACGTCGATGCTGCACTGTCACAAATATCCCCGGAAGGGACGGAGGGCTCTTAACCCGGCAGAACAAGTCATAGTAGTGACGTACGTGGGCCATTGCGATGTCCCAGTGCTCTTGCAGCCGTCGCCGTCGCCGTAACGGTTCCTGCTCTCGTAGGTGGATGATCCTTATTTGCCGATCTCCTGTGGGCTATGACGAGTGGTCTTCCTGTTCTGGGCATCTCCTCAGTCCTTCCTGTCAGCTGGTATCGTTCTAGAAGCCTCTGATACCGTCAGGTGGCGCACGCCAGAACCTTCTGGCAATTCTGAATTTGTGTAGCCCCCATTCGACTCTCTCCTTTTCACGTAAGTTAATCCCGTGGCATGTCTTTGGTGTGTTTTTTTATCAGCTATGATACCATGCTATGCTGTGATCGAATTTATACAACATGCCATATTTAAAACAAATCAACAAACAAGACTTTTGCCAAACTATATTTCTTTCGCCTCTTAGTTAAACTCGGTGGGTGTGGGTGGAGCGGTAGCCTAGTGGTTGAAGCGAGACGTCCCGTCTTGCCGAAGACCCGGGTTGATTCCAGATAATGAAAACATTGTGTGAAGCCAACTTCTGGTGTTCCCCGCCGTGATATTGCTGGAGAACTGTTAAAGGCGGAGCTAAACTTAACACAATACAGACATACACATTCACTCTAATTTTGCACAAAATGCTCCTTTTCTCATTTCAAACGGAACTCCCAGTTCCAATAGGTCAGTATGTTTAAGGGTGGTATTGCCAAATTGATGAAAAACAGATGGTATTCTGTTAGGTTTCTCCTTTGACAAAGTGAGTTTTACGCCGCTTCTGGAATGTGTGTTTTTCATACAAAATTTCGGACGACACTTTGCAATGGGTTTTTAAACCAAAGTTGAAACTTTTATTTGCCAGTAATGTTTCACCCTTCAGATAAGAAATTTATATTTTACACGCAATGCCGTGGGGACATCCAAGGAACACCTGAGGCAGGAATGACACACCTGGCAATCAATCAGTAATCAACACTTTATCGGCAGGAATTAAAAAGCTGTAACCTGTTTTCCTATTCGTGATATATAGGTTAAGTTACGTTACACATAAGAGTGCTGAAACGCTTCAACATATATTTCCAAGTGTTATTGAAGAATCTTTAAAAAGAATTGTAGCATTTTTAAAATGTCGCTTTGACTCCTACCGTGGTCCATACCGTTCTTTTTCATGAAATAAAAAAATGTCAGATTTTTAAGATATCGGTGACCATCTACTGGTAACATATCTTCTAACGTCGCTGTGTTTAAATCGGATTTGTTTCCAAAATGGTTGAGAGAGTAAAACAGTAAAATATATATATAGGTCTACTGTTTCGCTCGAGCAAAATAGAAATGAAATATATAGACTTTGATTAAGTGTTACCAAAGCGGAGTTCAACACAAACACTCCAGTTATTTTAAATGTTACTACACCTGGCTGTCCCTTTACCTGCACTCCTCCCTCGTAACAAATAATGAACTGTGTCAACATTTTAATGATAGTTTGTTAAACTATTCTTAGGACATAAATTCTGCAAAACCCTCACAGAGTTGGTCTTTGTGTTTTGATTATGATCAGCGTTTCATTGAGTATATGTTTAGTAGTTTTCTAGTTCGATTGCAATTCATCGATCCGCTTTTGAGCCGAACGGACTATAAAACGTTTCATAGAGACTCGCCCAGTTGTAGATCATTCACGCTCAACTTAAAGGGGATGTGGGGCAGGATATTTGGTTAGTGTTCGCTCATCAACCCAAAACCCCGGGTTCGGATCATACATGGATAATAATGGTGATGTTCATTTCTGGTGTCCCTCACCATGATATTGCTGGAATATTGCTGAAACGGCACAAAATCGTATTCACTCATCGATGCACAAATGAGAGGGGCTATGGGAAGGAGAAACGCTAGGGAAGGAGAAAGGAGATGATTCAACATGGAACGAGAGAGCACTTCAGCATGTTAGCATGTTGTCTAATGTTCAGCAAAGCATTTTGTTTCTTCCATTAACAGGCGGTGGGGTAGCCTAGTGGTTAAAGCGTTGGCTCGTCACGCCGAAGACCCGGTTCGAATCCCCACATGGGTACAATGTGTGAAGCCCATTTCTGGTGTCCCCCCGCCGTGATGTTGCTGGAATATTGCTAAAAGCGGCGTGAAAACCAAACTCAGTCAGTCAGTCAGTCAGTCTTCCATTAACAAAATAACCTAATGGGTCATATCGAGCTAGACACAAATCTATAAACATTGAATATATGGACAGGGAAATGTGACATTAGAGCAAGTTGGCACCTAGGGATGGAAGGCCATGGACACGCGCCTATTCAGTAATAGGTTTACTCAGCTGTCATCGATAAGCTTTTATCTGACATCACCTGTACTACAAGGCATCCGATATGCTGCTTATATAAGCACAAGGTCCATTAAGTCTATAAAAACTGGTCCAAACTGATCGCCAGACACATTTCAGTGTCGCTCATGTGTCGACTGATATTTGCGTCGGTTCTGGTCCTCTACTGCGCTTCGGCTGCATCCGCCGTCAACTTCCAGCGTACTATTGTCGCAATCTCCAAGACAACGGACTGGGGTCAGAACATCTTCTCGGGGAGGGCTGGTGCTGACGACATCCGTATCAGACATGAGGTGAAGACTCGGTACCCTGAGGGGTTTTTCGCCCAGACATCCTGAGGGGACAACTATTTGGCTGGGGAGGCGCTGAGGAGACCCAGGGAAGATACAATCACTATATAGATGCT